TTGATGGAAGGCCTGAAAGTCCTGGCCGGTGTGGCTGGTCCTCTCTAGGGCCTGGACCCTGACCCAGACCTCTGTTGGTTTTAGCATGTCTCCTGCACCTGTCATGACGGCTTTTAGGGTCGTGGTATCCAGTATCGCTCGGCTCTCTGACCCTCTGAGAAGGAGATCTTGCGGGCTCCTGAGGGAATTGGAAGGTAGCCATGAGCCAGACTAGCACAAGTGCGAAACTTAAATATCTTTAGGGTCAAGAGCAGAGCACACCGGTGTACTTAACAATTGGAATCTTCTTCCAGTTAACGAATTCTTTCTTCAGGTATGTCAAAACTACCTACCTAGCTTTTAATTTTAGATAGTGTATTTTTAATTCTAAAATTTTCACTTCATTTCTTTTATAGATTCCAATTTTCTGCCAAAATTCTTCACCTTGTCATCTGTTTTCTTAACTATCTTAATTACTGTTATTTTAAAGTCTGTAAAGTCTCTCTTTAATTCCATAGCTGTAGCTTTGGTGGGTCTGTTTCTATTACCTGCTGTCTCATTTTTTAATCCCTATTTTTGTTCATTTGGTCTTACTTCATGGTGCACCTGGTAATTTTTTTTTTAATTAATTAATTTTTATTTTGTTTATTTTTGGCTGTGTTGGGTCTTTGTTGCTGCGTGCGGGCTTCCTCTACTTGTGGTGAGCGGGGGCTACTCTCCGTTGTGGTGTGTGGGCCTCTCACTGAGGTGGCCTCTCTCGTTGCGGAGCATGGGCTCCAGGCACACAGGCTCCAGTCGTTGTGGTGAGCGGGCTCCAGAGCGCAGGCTCAGTAGTCGTGGTGCGCGGGCCTAGCTGCTCCGCGGCATGTGGGATCTTCCCGGACCGGGGCACGAACCCGTGTCCCCTGCATCGGCAGGTGGATTCCCAACCACTGCACCATCAGGGAAGGCCCTGCCTGGTAATTTTTAATTAAATGTCAAACATTGTGTTTAAAACTTTTAGAAAATTTTAGCCTCTAGATCAGCACTGCCAAATAGGAATAGAATGTGAGCCACATATGTAATTTTAAATTTTACAGTAGTCACATTAAAGAAATACAGAGAAACAAGATATATTTTATTTAACATTAGTTGTCAAATATATAATCATTTGAAAATGTAACCAATATAAAAATATTTATGAGATATTTTATGATTTTTTGTACTAAGTCCTGGAAATCCAGTGAGTATTTTATACTCACAGCACAGCTTAATTCTGACAAAGTCACATCCCAAGTGCTCAGAAGGCACTTGTGGCTTGTGACTACCATATCGGACAGCACAGCTGTAGATGATGCTGCATCCTTCTAGGGAAGATTTACTTTTGTTTCCAGAAGGCCATTAGTCTCGGGGAAGATCACTTAAGCCAATCAGAAATTGGGTTTGTTTATTTTCTATCTGCCCTTTCTTCTAAGTGTGTCCCTGCAGGAGTCATAACTGAAAGCATTGGGTATTTACTGGTACCTTCCACCTTGCCAGGCCCTGAATTCTAATTTTTATCTCTTTGGTCCCTTGGAAAGCTCTGGGTAGCTTCCCAGTGTCTCAGCTGCCACTTGTAAATACACAACTGCCTCAAGGGGAAAAGAAATGCCAAAACCAGGCCCAGCTCTCCTGTTCCCTTCTTGCTAGAATCTGGGGCCCTCACGTCCTGGCTTCTTGCATAACTTTCTTATGCCTTAAAATAATTTACACACACACACACACACACACACACACACACACACACACACAATTTTATGATGCAGTTTTTTCTATTTGTTCTCATTGGGACCATTGATTTGATACAAGCCTTTTGCCACAGCCAGAAGTCGAAGTAAAATAACATGTTAATAAACAGAAACCAAATTTTTTTTTTTTTTTTCTGTTTGGCACTCAGTACTGTTGAGCCTTTAAAATCAGGCTTATTTCTCTCCCTCTGATTCACCCAAATCCCTAGGGAATAAGATTATTTTCCCAATTCTAAGGATTGGCAAATTGAGGCATAATGAGTTTATTCCTAGGAAGAGTCAGGGACAAGATCCAAACCCAGTCTGTCTTTGTTCTCAGCCCAAGAGCTTCCCACCTGCTCCACCTTACCCACTTGCATGGCAGGGAGGCTTACTGACCTGGCATTCCTCAGTGACTCCCAAATCTCCATCTCTGTGCAGGGCCTCCACTTGAGAACATAGAGAAGTGGCAGACTTGGTAGTTATTCTGGGCAAGACAGCAGGAGTCACACTCAGAGTACACTCATTCCTCATGTGGCGTTTATTGAGATATTGCTTTGTACCAGACCCTGTGCTAGGCCATGTGGGAGAGACAGGATGACATCATTCACAGCCCTGCCACTGAGGGCATGTTGTTCACCTGCACAGGTCGGGTACCACGACCCTATCAGGAGCCTAGAAGCAGAGTTCTGGGAAACTTACCATCCTGTGAGGCTGCACACGTTCCCATGTACGTGCAGCTCCTGTCCCAGCTTCAGTCTGGGTTAGTTACCTCTGCATTGACAGCTGGGACCTGCCCACACCTAGGGCATAATGACATTTCAAGTATAAAATATTTAAATAAAGGATTTTATGATGCGAGTGAACTAAGATCTTTGACAGTAATAGGAATTTTTGTTTTTAACAATAAATATCAAAGTTAATTGAAACTTACTTTTAATTCACTGCTTTTAACCTGATATGTTTTCCTTTTTTAAAAAAGAAATCAACTATGTTTTCTAGAAATAAGAGCAACCTTTACTTTTTTCTTGTCCAATTATTAAAAAATAGGAGAAAACATTCCCAGCCATTTCTCACTACATGAAGACTGCCACAGTTTGGGTTTATTTCCTTTTAGGTTTCTTCCTGTGCTACCTTTTACGTAATTATAATCATACCGTACGTATGACTTTGTACGGACTTACGTAAAAGGCCAGGACTTTTATGTAATATATACGTGTAATATGAACATTTTCTCAAATTATTAAAACTCTTTGAATGTCCAAAGTTATGGTTGTAATAAAATATCCTATTTGGGATTTTATAGTCATTTCTCCTATTGTTGAATATTTAGGTTGTTTCCTCCTTTTTTAGTTTTACAGATATAATGCGGGGGATGTCTTTGGACATAAAGGTAGCCCCCCTTAATCCCCCCGTGCCCTCACACTTTAGATTATTTTTCTAGAGCAGATTACTAGAAATGGAGTTACTGAATCAAATAATAGAATATTTTTGTGCTCTTTAACTTATTTTAAGCATTGAATATACTCGTCAAATGGGCAGTCACTTCACCCCAAATATCAGACATGGTGCGAGGCAGGAGGACTTGGGCAACTTCTTGTGGCAGAGACCCAATGTCTGGCTGAAGGTGGGGCACCCCTAGAAAGGCCCGAGCTGTGAGTGGAAAGGGACCCTGATTGCCAAGGGTTAAGGGTAACATTAGTAAACCAAAGGAAGGCCAGTGTGTTGAGAGTGAAGGTATGCGTGCAGGAAAACCTTTTGAGAAGAAAGTAAAATGAAGTCTGCGGGAGCACCTCACTCTTCCAATGACTGTATTGATGGGAGCTGTTGCTGATATGGTGTGTAAATTGAATTTTGGCAACCGAATCCCCTTTTAGAGGCACTGTGAGCTGAATCCTATTTTAGATTGGTGACTCACATAAGGAACCCCGTGGTGACTCTATAAATCAGAAAGTTCGTTTGCAATGCAAATCGTCCTTTCCTGAGTAATCTTCAGCTCCTTAATTTTACAAATTGTATATTGTAATTTTTTTATTTTTGTATATTGGTTTCTGCAAAGTATACTTGGAGGTCGCTCAGGGTCCATTTCAGCCATGGGGTTTGTGGGTCTTCGTGGGAGAAAGTTCTTCTATTGGATCAGCCCCTGAGGGATGGCAGCCTGCCCTCTACCTCTGGCTGTCAGTTGAGTCCCTACGATAATGGAATCACTCCCAGGACCAGCAAATGGAGAAGGAAGTGCCCGACAGGTTTGAGGGAGACTGACAGGTGTTAGGTGGCTAGAAGGTCAGGGAGACTAGGGAAAACACAGCTCTGAGAGCCCTGAGCTCCCAGTACAAGGGGAAAGCCGAATGATCCTGAAGTGGGGCTGAAGTTTCAGATGGAAACCTTGGTCCTCACAAGTTCCTGCAGGGGGTTCAACTCTGACAGCAGATTAGATCCCACTCAGAAAGAAAACATGTGCTGCAGAATGTTCCAGTCTGGTTTGAGCTGATGATGCAGAGGGCTTTGTCTGAGGGTGAGGCAGATGAGCCAGCAAATGCCTTCTTTGACTCCTTCGGTGAGGGATCAAGCGTCTGTAGACTGTATCTCTTTGCCAGAATGGGAGAGGTAGGGCTGCAGGGTACACTGCCCAGCTCCCTAAGGGACATGACTGAGGCCTGTGATTTACAGTAGCCTCAGCCCTGGGGTTTTCTTTTACCCTTTCACGTCAACACCAAGAAGCCACGGAGTTGGGTCTTAGAAGTTCAACGAAGTGCAAAAGATACATCTTAAATCGTGATCATGTTTAAAATATTTCTAATGACTGACTTGATTTCATAAATAAAACCAGCTTTGCATAAATTAATGAAATATTTGCACCAGGTAGCATGGTAATTTCCCAAGTTCTTGGGGACCCTGTTGCGAGGTGGGTGCTTCTTCTGCTGAGTTCACAAGTCTAACCTTTCAACTGAGGTTGTGTCCTTCTTACCAGCCTTGAATGCCGAAAACTGCTAAAATGTTACTGAACTTTGCAAGTTACTGTGTTTGCTGGGGCATTGTCCAAACCTCCAAACCTAACTGGAAGTAGAAGTGGTAGAAAACCCCAAGACCCAAACTCAACTTTGGGAAGATTTGGAAAGAGTCCCACGAGCCATGTCCCTGCTAGGGCTTGTTGAAGATTCACACAGTGTATCAGTAATTATTTAACAATCAAGGTGTCCTAAACTTTTATACAGTGTTTAATTTACATTGATTTCTTCACTTTACATGTAGTAATTAATTTTGTCTTACTGACAGATGATTCTCAATGACTGATTTCAAGGGACATTCCTGACAGGTACTTGTTAACCCTTTGTTTTCCTTCGAAAGCCTTTTTCTACTCTGGGGTGCTGTCATGGGCAGCACAGGGATTTCTGGAAGGGGGCCTTCGGGGAACAGCTATGTGGAAGTGGGAGGTGCGAGGCGAGTTTTCATGCAGCTCATGGATCTATTTAGAGTCGCTTTGGGGTGGAGTATGTGGATCTGATCGGGGGGGCTTAGAGCTCCCCCAGTTAACTTTTTGCTCCCTTTAAGAGTTGGCCCCTGCAGATACTGCCCTAGGTCATATTTGAATAGGCTCCAGAGTGTAAGAAGGATTTTCTAGCTTTAGAAGGCAAAGTAGAAATCCCCAAATTTGCTTTGAATGAAAAATTGAAGGATTTAAAGACAATTTTAAGACAAGTATTTTTTGGGTTTCTGTTTATGCCTTTTCCCTTATAACGCGCAAGAGTTATAAAAGTCTTCGTAGGGGGCTTCCCTGGTGGAGCAGTGGTTGAGAGTCCGCCTGCCGATGCAGGGGACACGGGTTCGTGCCCCGGTCCGGGAAGATCCCACATGCCGTGGAGCGGTTGGGCCCGTGAGCCATGGCCGCTGCGCCTGTGCGTCCGGATCCTGTTGCTCGGCAACGGGAGAGGCCACAACAGTGAGAGGCCCGCCTACCGCCAAAAAAAAAAAAAAAAAAAAAAAAAAAAAAAAATTCTTCGTAGGGTGGAGAGAGCTGCAGAAATGACAATTACATGGCAGTGGAGCCACAGGTCCTAAGCCAGTCCTGTGTTCCAGTTTTATCTGGACATGGTGTGCTTGTTCACGTTGGTTACCTCTGGGCCATGTTGGCGGAGGGCCCCTGATGCCAAAACAGGGCAGGTTGCAATTCTGCTATGTTCTTTTTTTAAAAAAAATTTCCTTCTGTCTTTCATCCCTATTTTGTAGTCTCTGAATATTAATTCATAGCTATTGGATTTAAGACATGAACATCTCCAGGGATAGAATTACAAAAATGGAGAGGGAAGTTACAGTGGACACTTCTTTTTAAAATCTGATTTTTGAATGAATGCTTTTGCCCCTTTGCATTGCAGGAGATGACCACTGGGCAATATTGTTATTATTAATGAGGAAGACCTGTATCCTTCGTTTTACAACTTTCCATCCTAAATGACCTTTTAAATTTGGATACTATCCAAGTCACATTTTAATATCAATGAATGATGGAAAAGGTAAATGAGGTTCAAATTATTCTAACACACACATGTTAGAATCTATGTCTATAGCTATATCTTCTCCATAGGCTGGTCATAACTTTATGAGTAGGGAGGGAATTTTAACACCAACCCTGTAGATGAACCTTGTGTGTCGGTGGCTGCATCCCACTCAGATGGCAGTCACTGCCCTGTAGCATGGAGCTTCCCCTAAATACACATGGTTCTGACTATTGGTCATTGCTCTGATCCTTAGTATTGTTTTTGTGTTCCCAAGAATGAAGAAGCATTTGTTTGGCAAATACTAAGACATTTTTGGAGAGTTCCCCAGGACTTTGCCCAGCCTGGTTCTTTCCTGGGTCAGACTCAGGTCAGAGTTCTGAGGACAGCAGGTCCCAGATCTGGGTCACCATCTTCTTCCAGCTCCTGCTACCGCGTCTGCAGCTCTTCTCTGAGGGCGAGAGTTGGGCCCCTTTGGGGATTTCTGTCATTATCGCTCCTGAGTCCCGTGTCCCTCGATATTTCGTCAGAGAAGGTACTCAGATCTGGTTTGGCTTGTAGTAACAAAGGTCTTTTTGTATCTCCTGGTCCCTCTGCTTCTCCTTTCATTCCCGTGGCATCTATGATTACAGTAATGTGACTAAGGGGGCCTTTTTTCCCAATGTGCCTCCCAGTATTTCCAGGTGGAAAGTAGTTAAGTTCTTCTTTTTACACTTGCCATTTCCACCTACTTGTGCAGAACAGTCTCAGGATCTGCCCGAGCATGTGCATGCATGTTCACAACTGTGTGTGTACCCTTAGTGTGTTCGTGAAGGTGTGTAGAGGTATGTGTTGCGTGAACGTGTGCATCTTTGCAAGGCACGGGGTGTGTTAGGGTGTCCCTGTGTAGTGTGTGAGTGTGGGTGTGGGTGTGTGGGCACCGGCCAGTGGAGGGGTGTGTGTGCCTGTGAAGGTGTGTCTGTGGCCATCAGGGGGCGCTGCTGTCGAGCCGCCCAGATCACAGGGCTTCCGCTCCTTAGTCATATCATAGCCTCCATCTTTATTTGTGTTCATTATTCACAGGGCAGTTAGTGGCTACGCCCCCTTGTTGGTCAAAAACAGTCTTATCGTATTTAGGAACAGTCATGTATTCCCCAAATTTCAACAAAATCCTTCCCGATGCTGTTGCCCTTATAGCACGAACTGGCACCTGCCCTTCGATACTATACCTGCAGGAGGAATTCATCACATTTGGACACATTTCCTAAGCAAGGCTGCTGATGCGCTATGTTAAAAAAAATTAATTAAAAAAATTCAGATCTCGGGAAATTCCAGCAGTCAGTCTCCTCCCTTTATCCTAATCTCTTCATGGTAATGCTCACAAGTACCCCCGGTTCAGACAATTCTTCATTCATTCTCCACCCGCCACCACACTCATACCCAAACTCCCCACCACTGGAGATTAGCCTTTTGTGAGGCAGTGCATCAAAAGCTTTCTTAAAGTCCCAGTAAATTATACCCCTGGTTTCCCTCTTCAATTCCTTTTTGTTACTTTTTCAAAATATTCTATTAGTTTTGTTACGTATGATCTCCCTTTTGTGAATCCATGCTGAATATCTTTAATTAAATCATAACTTTCCCTATTTTGTCCCTGATTAGTGTTTCCAATATCTTCCCCACCGCTCAAGTCAAGCTTACTGGTGTTTAATTTCCTAGATCTCCCTCAGAGTCGTTATTAAATATAGGTGTTGCATAAGGGCTCTCGTCCACTGCTGCTTCTCCAGTTTCCCAGGGTACTTTTAAAAGGTATTTGCTAATCGTTCCCCTGTTTCCTTGTCTCCTCTTGCACAAATTCTAAGATGGTTCCCATCTGGTCCCAGAGTTATCAGCCTTCAGACACTCTAATTTCTTTCTCACCTGTTCTGCTGTGATGCTGATTTCCTTCGGAAAGGTTTTCCTCTCCTTGGGAAATGCTTGTCTGCTGCTGGCATCTGCTCTCACCTTCCCTTTATGGACAGGAAGGCAAACCGTCTATTTTTCATTTTCCTTAGCAGTTGTCACCACTTATTTCAATAAGCTGTGCTTTGTGCCGTGCCTCCTAACATCTTTAGGAAAAGCATTGTGAATTCAGTTCCAGCACTACCTTGCTAAGCCCCCAACTCAGAAGTCAGTATTTCCCTTTCCAAGGGCTGATAGCATCACTAACTTGTAATTTGGGGCAGGGAGTGCCGACCCTTCGGTAGTTAAACTGTTTTTGATGCCCTCAGCTGTTCTAGGGGAAGCGTGACGTCTGGAGGCCCCCCTGACAACCAGTCCAAGAGGAACCTGGCTCCCACGGTGGCTTTTAGGGGGTTGTAAATTTTCCCACGTGTCATTTTGGAAATCTTCCCTCCTGAGTCAGCTTCAGCCTGGACGTTCTCCTTTCCTTGCACCCTGAGCAGTGCTGCTGGCTTCCCCCGTACCTGACGGATGTGCTTCTGTGGCTCCCTCACTCCCAGGCTGTATTCTCGACTCACCTCATGAAATCTGCTTCCTTCTCGGCCTCTGGGACACAGGCTAAAGGGACACAGACTAAAGCACGGCCCCGTGAAGGGTGCACACCCGGTGGCTTTCAGGCACTGGTACCAGCAGGTGCCCCTGTGAAGGGGTGGCCACAGGGAGGGGTTTCACACCTCTGAGCTGAAGACTGGGGAAGCCTCTTCAGATGCACTTATTCTCTCCTAGCTTGACCTCGTTTCCTTTTACAGCACATACAACCCAGATCTGCACACTGAAACATCGCTCTCAGGTTGTAAATTCTACACCAAATCAGAAGGCCAAATCCTCCTGTAAACCCAAGGGCCGCTCGACCTACATAACACCAAAGAGCCTGGCACTGATGGCTATCGTGGGTGCTGTCGGGCAGGGGAAGCAGAGGCGTGAGGTCTGTGCCCTCTAGGGCAGGCTACAGGCCTGAATCAAGTTACAGAAACACCATCAGTCAAAAATTTCAGCAAAGTAGGTATGAGTCATCAATAGTCCTTTTGACATTGTTGTATGTCAAAAGGCACACCGCCCATGTCCTGTGTCCCTCGTCATGCAAATGGCTGTAATTTGCGCACACAGAGGGATTTGAAATTTTAAAAGCTTAATAAAGGCTGTGTATACACACACTCGAGCCAGTTTTTAAAAACTGTATTTAACTGAGTCAAATAGCATGCTACTTTGGGGAAAAATGAAGATCAACTAAACTTTTTTTTTAGTTCAAATGTCTTTTTAAAAAACTGATTGTGTGGTACAGACTGGTTGAGGATCTTGCCCAGATACAGCAATGAAAAGTAGATGGGCAGGGACACCCCCAAAACTTTGGATTTCTTCTTCACCCCACCATTGTTTCTCCATCGAAAGGGGTCACTGTCCCTTTGCCTTGGGGTTATGAGACAGGGTGGCCTGGGTCTGTAAATCTATAGTTCACCAAGATCCAGAGACCCGGGACCCAGACCCTTGATCCACCCACCTCACTGAGCAACAGACAGCTGCCTCCCGACAGGGTGCACCGTCCTGTGTCAGCCCCTGAGTGCCGTTCCAAAAGCAATTTATAGATGGACTTTGTAAGCGAAAATAAGAGACACAGGTGCTTCATAATAATTACTTGCACATTTACAGAATCGGACATTCTGTCATTTAATAGACCTAAAACTAAAAAGCTTTTGTCTGTGAAAGGTGACCAATAGAAAAAGGGTTTGGATTATATGATATCCCATAACTTAATCATATGGCTCTTAAGAGGTGGACATACACAGCTGTGTCTCGCTAATATGCATGCAATATGTGTAAACTGATACGCTTTAATTCTAAACTTGTT